TTTTAAAACAACCAATAAAAAACAGAAATAATTAATTTACCTGGTTATTTTTTACACACAGGTAACAGTCCAAAACGTATTTAAATTTAAATAATATTTATTTACGTAAGAAGTGGCACTAGGATCACATATACATTTCGTTGCAGGTGGGATTTAAAAAAAATAGATGAAATTTAGAAAATACAGGCAAAAGTGCGAGTTGGAGAATGAAATAAGTTGTCAACATCCGTGAAATTTCAACTGGTTCAAATTGTTGACAAGAATGATAGGCTTGTTGACAAACAAATCTGATTTACCCCCCTTTAATCTTTTTTTTTTAACCCATTTCTGTTGGATAGGGATCCGGGGAATGAACATATCCTTGTTTTTTTTTTTTTTTTATACTAACCCTAATTAGAATAGTTGTTTAGAAGTCACGTGGGAGAAGCTACTTAACAGCTATGAGAGACCCATTTGTACAATGAAGAAACATGATGGGCAGGAATACCATGCAGCTAAAGTTAAAGAGCTCAAATTTTGAACAGTAAGGTGTCTGGAATTGTGTCAGTTAATATATACAGCGAAACCTAGTCAGGAATCTGTTGTAACAGCTTTGAGTTTATTTCAATAACTGTATCTTTGGAACTTAAATCCAGAATTTTTTTTTTTTAACCACCTTTGTCTACAGTTATCAAACTTTTCAATTTTTATGTTATTTATATACAACTATTTTGTAATTTGTCTTGCTTTCTGGAGGTTTTGTTTAAAAAAAAAAAAAAAAAAAAAGGAAAAAATGAACATTTTTTGGTAGCTTCTAAAATACACAAAATATATAACTAGCAGTAAAGCCTGGCATTGCCTGGGAGTAAACTTCCTCTGAATAGAAGGTAATAACCACCATACTCATTTTGTACACACATGTAAGGCTGAAGTCTAGTAGAACTGATGGCCGCCCAAGTAAAAAACGTAACGTACACAAGTTGCACAATGGAAGAAAAAATTGTAAGGCTTAAAAGGAAGCAATGGACAGCCATGGTAACATCACAGTTTGCCATTACTAAGACACCTCCAATTAAAAGTTGTGAAATTCAGTGTGAACACGAGCCTTAGGAAGTTTTTGGTGAGTTGTGGCAGATGGCTTTGTATTCCGATGGGATGGTTTTATTATCCCTGAGTGCAAGACATTACATTGAAGCCCTGTGTCAGTTGCAACATAGTAAAACGCAATAGTGTGAAAGGTAGACGCATCTTTTGCCCAAAAGATGGCGCTGCCACTACTGCAAACAGAACCACATAACAGAAGTATGGGAAGGTGACAGGGAGAGTATTTGTAAGTGGCACAAATTTTTGTGTGGTTTTTAATAGCCAGTTGAGGTGAGCATGAAGCACATGTAGCATTACCTAAAGCAGCCCTTATGGTAAGGGGAGAAGCACACAAACGGTGCATGGCAGAGAATGCATATTATAATTGTGCATGCTGCTATTCTTTTATTATCTCCCTTCTTTTTGCTGAGGCCTGAATTGTGTGGACACACTTGACTTCCCTGACAATTAAAACGAATCCACCTTCCCACGTATTGGTTTTGTGTTGCAACTGAATATGGTTATGTGTTCGACATGTAAGTGCAAATGCAGACTGGGTAAAATATGTCTGATGCATTGACATTTCTAGACCAACCATGTGCTATGGCTGAGTTTCTGTCCTTGTAAAATTATCTTTAACTGGAAGCATTGTTGTCCATAGGTGAAACACTGTTCACCTAAATGCAGACCCATAACACTGAGCCCAGGGCTTTCTGAAGCTCTGGCAGATTTAGCAGATCTGGAATTCCTCAAATAGCAATTGTAGCAGTCTGCACAGGACTTTCTAAATCTCTGGCAGAACCATTAAAGCTGGCATTTCTTAAACTACAAATAGCAGTTTGTTGAGGTTCTTCCGAAACCCTGGAAGATGCTGTAGCCCTAGCATTCCTAAGACAACGCGAAGTGGTTCGTTCAGGGCTTTCTAAAGCTCTAGAACATGCTGTAGCGCCGCATTCCTTCATCTGCCAAGGATTATCTGTGTTGGGAACCTGCCCTGGCCCTCAAAACGAGCATTGTGTCCTGTGAATTCTCTACTAGCGCTCTTCAGTTGAAAGTCTAGGGCGTCCGTGATGACATAACTGATGCTACTGATGCCAGCCTTTCAGTTCATTCAGCTGTACTTTCTGTGGAGATGCGGGCAGCAGAGTATGAGGCCATCTGAGAAAGGTGCAACAAAGTTTGCTCTGTGGTTTCATTTGCCCTTGCTACACTTGTAGCGGAGGCAGCAGCCGTGTGCCATCCAAAAAGTTTTCTTCTCTTAGGCAGCATTTTAACCAATTTTAAAAAACATAATAAAAAGATGTAGGTTTTTTTTTTGTGCAAAAAATGTATGTAGTCTAAACGTAGGCAGGTTAGAGGGATCCCAAAAATGTATGTAACTGTATCAAAGGGATTGAAGACAAAAATGTGAAGTTTAAAACATTCAACTAAAGCTAAAAAACGTAGTAGGTAATTTGGGGAAGTAAACGGATGTAGTTGTAACTAAGTAAAAAAAAAAAATTTGGATATCGTAATCAACAACTTGCAGTTTCTGTAAGAAGCAAATGAAGTTAGCCAAGTGCAGGGCAGTAATCGCAGAAGTGTGAACACGCATGCAAGTTATGGTATAAAGTTGGCCGGTTAACCTTAAGTGCACATGCTAAGGTGACGTACATACACACGTGCACACATGCATGTATGATTGGATGGTCTCAAGGTTGAACACTTGCAACTGTGCCAATGAGCTCGCAGCAACCTTGAACAGTTGACACGATTGGTTAACCTTCGGCTGTATTAGTCAGAGCAGTGCACAGTGGCGGATGACATTTCAAAATAGTATCTGGCGACTTTATTGTATCGGGTTTTTTATTGATAAGTATGAAAGCTATGTAGTTCCTTATCCCAAAATAGGCATTCCCTTTTTTATTTACGTCGTCACCGATGTAGTGCAGTCTCTCAAAGTCAACCAATCAGAAAATTGGATTTTCAAGCTTCATTTTTCTTTGAAAATTTTGAGCAGCCAGGAGATATGAGGTAGTTTTATTGATCAAAAGTTGAAAATACAAGCGTTTTTACACTTCTTACAAACAAAATTTGAAGCAATGTTAATTTTGTTTACTGATGGATGAAGGCATTTAAGTAGCACGAATTTAAATGAAAACGTGCAAGATCTTTTTTGAGTAGATGCCTTTTGCTACATCTAAACGACATGAAAAGACATAAGTCACCTGGTGTCCCCTCAATTGAAAAAATGCAATCAAATGTGAAAAATTGGACAATTGCAGGGAGCCGATTCTGTCCACTCGGCTTAAAAGTGGTGGTGTGAAGTGGCATGAAATGTGTTAGGATTGCTCACTGAATTCAATCCTACTTTATATGCTTTAGTAGGCTAAATGGGCTACAAACACCTAAAAAGCAACAGTTTCACCTTTGTTTTTACTGATTTTCTGGTAAAATTTGACATGCAGCTCTGTGAATCCCCTTTAAAATGGCTCTGACATTTGCACTTTACTGTGCAAATACAGAAAACGTGGAAAGTAATGCATGCCTGCATTGAAACATTAAAAGATCCTTTTTAAAATCCATGGTATGAGCGTTAATTTCTGAAATAAAAGTAGGCTACCTGAAACTTCTACCCTATTTGGGATGCTTGATGTGCGCACGCATGACAACCCCACCAATTCACACATGATCTCTCATGGCCCCAGAGCGTGAATGGGCCAATTAGCAGCAAGCATTACGCAGCGCGCAAGCCACATGTGACTAATAACATTAATCCGATTTGCTTTTAGAGCGCAAAGTTCGGCTGCGACAGAAATCCTTCACTGTGATAACTTTTGCATCCGAAACCAAAATATGGCCATTCTTGTCCTTTCTTATTCCCATATAAGCATTTAAATCCAAGTTTTTTCTAATTATGCTACTGCTATTAATTCTGACATAAAAAGTGCCCATATCTGCTTATGTGCAGTGAACGCACATAATTACACACACACACGTGCATCCAATCAAAAATGAAAAATCGATAATATTGATTTAAATCAATTTTTATCGCCGTCAAAACTTCCACAGGACCATTAGCAGTAACTGTGTCAAATTTGGTTGAAATCGGTTGAAAAATGTAGATCTGATCAAACATAAGCAAACACACACGCATATTCTGCCTTTTATATATGTATAGATAAAACCAATGATTGATATCTTAGTTTAGCATGCATAAAATCATTGAGATCAGCACAAAACTTTGTCTTGGATTTTATGGCTTTCTTTACAATATAATGCTGTAATCAGTATTATTCACTATCAACATTTAAATTTAGCAGATTCTGCAAGCAGTCAGTATTTATAGTTAACTAGCAAATCTACAATTGCTCAAATAAGATAATTTGTCAAGTTAGTATTTGCACTTTTTGGCCAAATTTATTTTGCCTGGTTCACATTTATCAAGGAAATTAGGGACACCTGGCTAGAATTTGTCTTATTTGAGTCTCTAACCTTGGTTTTCTTTAACCATGTCATTTTTATTTTTGTTTTTATTTCAATGAATTAGAAGCAAGCTTTATTAATTTTTTTTCAGAGAGAATTTTCAGTTCAATTTCAAATCTTTAAAATGTCTATAGAGCTTCAATACAAGAATATTGTTTTGTTTTTTTTTCATCATCATTTTATTATCTATTGTCATCTTATTAAACTATTCCAGCACAATTTTTGACAAATGGTAAAATTTTGTAACTTGTAAAAGCATGATTAATGTTGGGTAACTCTGAATTATCTGCCATGCAATAGAATTTATTATAAAGTATATTAAAAGAAAAACAATTCTATTTTCAGGTGACTTATGGAGTTTCAACTCAGCCCATGGAGATTTTATTATTTCCCCACTGCCTGATGTATCTGTGCACAGCCTCTTACCCAAAAATGACAAGTGCCTAATTTTAGGCAGTGATGGTCTCTGGAATATGCTCACTCCACTTGAAGCTGTGATGGTTGTTGTGGAGAATGAGCGAAAATTCGACCAATTAGTAGTGAATGATATTGTGAGTGTAGCTTCTGTTTTTTTTTTTGTTTTTGTTTTTTTTTTCTCCTTACATCACCATTTTTGTAAATAATTTTTTTTTAATATAATCAGAATGTTGACAAATTACTTTGTTTTAAAAGCTATCTTTATAATGTTAGAACAAAAAAATCATAGTCTTTTATCCTTTCTCATCATTTTAGTTTTTGTGTAGTATTTACACCAATTTCTATCTTAATCTCTTCTTTATCACATTTCAGCAGTTGTGCCCTCTGACCTTCATTAGTAACTTGTTGATCCAGGTAGATTGAATTAAGTTCAGTTTAAAATTCCATGAAGGTTACCCAGATTGACATGCACCTGATGGGAGGGACAAAGGTTGAAACATTGTGATAATAGCAACAAAGATGAGGACAATATCAAGTGTAAATAATAAAAATAATTATCTACACCAATGTTTTTGTATATACAAAGGTATGTTTGACACAGTCAGATTAAGTTAGAACTTGTAAATAATCTGCTAAACAGTACACAAAACACTGTACTATGAAGTCTGTGTCAAAATTCCCAAACAGATTGTATTTGTACAATATGGATTTAAAAAAAGTTATTCTTTATTCTCAGTATTGTCAGATCATCAGATTTTGTTTCTTGAACATCATGATTTATTGAAGTATGGTGAACTCTCCTGTTGTATTCGACGTATGAGGGTCAAGCAGCTCAGTTCCTAGGAACCAACGGACAGACACCAACACATATGATTTGATTATAGTGGTGAAGGCTTTGTGCAGAACCAACCACACTTTTTGAAGGGCTGAATACAGCAACCTGGTGCACTATGTACCATAGGTCCCCAAACAACCCTCCACAGGTTTTGAATTCAAAGTTGTCCTTCTCCTAGACCAGCTGCCATCCAAGGCTATAGAACCCAGTCTGTGCTGCTATTTACCCATATGATTAAAATATTGGTATTGAAGTTTTTGACAGTTCGGGATAAAAGGTGTGCATGTGAAAAATACAGGGTGTTTCACAATTATTGAAACAAAACGATCAGGCACAAATCAAGTACCACAAATGATAGTAATGGAAATTACAATTATGAAAGGTAAAAGGATAAAATTGTAGGAGGCGTAGTGGATAGTGGCTTGGATTGAGAAATTGGAGAGCCAAGTTCGAATTCCAGTTGAATCCATTACATTCATTTACGTATTAATATTCTTCTCCTATTGTGGTATATAGTCGTACTTAATGTTAAAATCTGGCCCATATTTCTATTTGAATTTTGTGTCAGATTTGCTATGTATTTTATCAAGGCTTAATTATCTTGTGAAAATAAATTTAGTTGTCCTCAGGGCTGGCACTAGGGTTTCCATAAAGTTTAATCACTGACGCATCTCCATTGGAAAAAAGTGTTTTACAAAGATTCCAACACAACACATGAAAAACATCCATGACAAACTGCATTTTCTTTAAAAAAAACAAAAAAAAAACTGTGCATGAGAGAATTTGATGTATTTACTGTTTTGTCAATTATTTGACAGAAAAATTAGGATTTTTTAGGGGTAGAACTTTTCTATAAACATTTGACAAATGAAATAATCCACAATTTGCATTGATACATGGTTTAGTATCTCTTTCACCTGATCCTGTCATGCATTTGCACCAAAAAAACACAAAGTTTATAGAAACATAGTTAATTCCTTTGCATGATAGAATAAAATTCTTACTTGAACTATAAAAATTTTACTTTCCTACCAACTCAAAGTTCTTGTGCCATACACAAAACCTAGTTGGCAGAAACAGCAACTCTTGATAATCTGTGCAAACATTAGAATCAAGGCAACCACTGCATAAAATTTTAATAGGAAAAAACTCATTTAATTTACAAATATGAAAAGGTACAATACAAGGGTTGCACAAAAATTTCCTTTTGTGCGCCTATTTCAGCAGGATAATAATTTCCTGAGGTAACAAAGAAGAGATTACCCACAGAAACAAGAAAAAAATGTTACAATTTGTGGCACAGTGGATAAAGGCGTTAATTAGATCCAGTGACAGGACTCAAAGAGTGCGAGTTCAATTCCCGGCTGAGGCAGTGGTTAACTTTCAAAGGGAAATTAACAGGAGATAACTGATAACTGACATTCATTAAACATGACACATGGAACTAGAACAGTCTACTCCAGTGAGCGAAATAAAGGGTTCAGTTCAACATTCCAACCACCTGAAGAAGGCCGGAACATACAATGGCCGAAACGTTGTAATAAATATAGTGACAAAGATGAGGACAATAGTCCGAATAATGTACATCATACCTCCTCTCAGAAATATAGACAGATATTAATGCATGGTTAATACATTCAGTTCAGTCACAAAACTGAATGAATATTTTTGAAGAAACCCTGGCAAAAATTTACCATTTAAATTCTCCGATAATTTCAAAACCAAATTTTTGTCTCAGTCAATACACTGAATTTACACTGAAATAATTTTTTAAGGCAGAATTTTACACAAATTCCCCTTCACTTTTCAAGTTAAGACCAAGCTTAATTTTTACATTAAGAAATTCTTTAGAGAAAGCAGAAATCTCCCCTTTCTTTTGAAACCGAGTTAACTTAAATTTTTTACTTAGTTTAGTTTGATAATCTATTTCTATTTCACACAAGAAAAGATATCCAGCCAGACAGTACCAAAAATTTCATAAAGATTCACACAGCAGTCTTGTAAAAACAAGCACAAATTTTGTTCTTTGCATTCAGGAGGTAACAATAATAATTTTTTGTGAAAAATATAAAAATATCCCAAAAATTTCACATAGCAGAATTTTGTAAAAACGAACACAAATTTTGTTCTTTGCATTCAGAAATTAACATTACCACAGTAACATAAAAAAATTTTGTACAAAATTTAAAATTCTTACTTTCCTACCAACTGGGAGTTCTTGTGCCAGACACAAAACCTAGTTGCCAGAAACAGCTACTTGATAATAGACACAAACTTAAGATACAAGATGACCACTGCATAAAATTTTAAAAGGGAAAAACACATTTATTTTACAATTTACAAATATGGAAATGTACAATACAAGGGTTACACAAAAATTTCCTTTTGTGTGCCTATTTCAGCAGGATAACAATTTCCTGAAGTGACAAAAAAGGGATTACACATAGAAACAAGAAAAAATGTTACAATTTGTTTGATAAAGAAACTAATTCAAAGACAAAAAATTAAACTCTTTCAAAATAGAAAAATTGGTAAAACTTGGAGTAAGTAATAATAAAATTGCAGAAGACAGAAAATTTTCAATGAGCACCCACCTCTGTTCTTAACGGATTACACAAACGAGACATCTAAGCTCGATGAGGCTTTGTGTTTTAAAGTTATTTTATTGACGGCTTTTTGAATTTTGAATTTTGCCACATAGATCACTTGAATCTTCATCAATATGAAATCTTGTCTGAGAGGCTCAGAAAAGAATTTAAGTTTTGGAATCGAAATATGCTTTGAATGTGTCAGCTCTTCATTTATGACCTTTGGCTGGACCAATCCTTTAAAGCATATTTACTAATTGATTCCTCCATTAACTGCTTTCTCATCAATGGCACATTCTTTTCTTTTCTCTGTCCTTATCTGCTTATAGCAGCCCTTTTTTATTGAAAAAGTAAACATTATATCGGCTCACTTCACACTTTCACATAGCCTTCAAGAAATCTGCTATCATTGGTCAATGTATATAAAACCCTTTTCCAATTCAAAAAAGAAAAAAAAGGTCAGCAACAGATCAAACAATTTTGGCAGTATCAGCTGCTGCTTGAGCCTAAAAGGCCATAAAAATTGCAAGATTTTTCACATAAAAGGTCTGCAGATTTTCCTGCTTGATATTTCATATATGTATGCTTTGTGCCACTTGTCATGTGACTTTTGGAAAACCCTGTATATTATTAGTTGATGACTGACAATATAACATCAGTTTAAAAATAATTAAAAAAAGGGGCAGATGGCCATAAAACAGTACTGAAAAAAAAAATGGGAGAGGCCACAACAGTACCCCAAAAACTGCAGGACCCTCTCCGCCCCTCATCTGTAGTTAACGAATTTGTTAGGGTTACCGAAGTAGTGGTTATGTGTTTACATGTAGGTATCTTTGGATAACATCCTTAATCTGAAGATACACCAATATTTTTTTCCTTTGTAAAAACACATGCAAAGATAATTAATACAAAGGTATATTTTGCATGTACTGATAAAAATTTTCTCTTAAAATATACAATATTTAAAGAGTTCATACTTTCATATTAGGAAGTTCTCATGTTGAATGTCTCTAAGCGCTTTAGCATATAATAGAGAGAAGAGAGTTCTTGTAAATGTGTATGTATGTAAGTGTCTCTTGATTGTAGTAATCCTTTTGACTCACTGTGAGATTTTTATTTGTCCAAAAATGTAGGCATGGGAGAACAGATGAAATATTTCATTGACTCTGTTTGCCTTGTCTGGTCGTCTAAGTTTATCATTTTTACAGGACAACTGATTTTTGGTTGGTTCACAGGACTCATTTGACCATCCCTTTTACTTCGCCTCCATTTAGGAATGATAACTTTTAGGCCTATTTTATTTATTTATTTTTTATGTCAAAACAAAATGTTTGTCTAACTTTTAGTTTTCTGTTTGCTGTTGTTTGTTTGTTTGGATTTTTTTTTTTGTTTTTTGTGTTTTTTTTTCTATTACTACAGATTAATACACATATACAAAACATTTTTTTTTTTTCTTTTGACAGTTTTCTCCTCTGACCTACTGGAACAACCCAGCAGAGCACTTAGTTAATTATGCCCTACAGAAATGGAATGAGCGAATGCTGAAGGCAGACAACACGACATGTGTTATTGTCATGATCGACACAATGGGTCCAAGCAAACTGGAACGTCTACGGCGCCGGAGAGAAGACCGAATCCTGCAGCTTAGCAAACAGCAAAAGCTTAGCATGGACATAAATGCTTATCTCAAGTATCATCTGCTGCCTGGTGCCAATGGGCAAAATGCTGCTGCAAGCTTGGTTGGCCTTTCTGCTACAAACCCGCTACCTATTTGTGCCAGTCTGCAACGGAAGTGTCACCCAATTGTAAATGATAGTGACACAAGGGCCACAAGACCTCTATCTCTTAATGATACCAATAAAGTAATAGTTAACCATATCCGGATAGGCTGTGAGGGAAAAAAATTGGATGATGGCAAAATAGACACTGAATCTCTAGCCAAGAAATCGGGATCTCTATGTCCTGTAAATTCTTCTCCAGCAGGTGCTGCGTCAGGCTTGGACTCCAGCAAAGACCACACTTCCAATATTTCCATCTATAAGGTAATGGACATCGAGAATGAAACTGATCACAAAACGAGTAAATCCAAAATGAGGTTCTCTATCTGCCTGTCTGGGGATGAGTCTGCTGATGGTAAGATTACAGACAGCGACAGAGGCAATGGTAATGACAACAGCATGATGCCTGCTAGCCGATGTGTAGAAACTGGAGAAATAGATCACAATGCTAACATCAAAGATGAGGGGAATGAAAGCTGTGAAAACAAAGAATCCCCATCAACAGATGTAACGGTGGAAAGGAGAAACATTGATATAAATAACCACAATGTCGCCACTTTACCTCAGGTGCGCCGAACACTTAGTTTGCAGCCAAAAATGCTTCGTACTCGAACTCGGAAATCCTTGGATGATCAGTTGGCACCTTGCCCCTCTGATATTGCCAAGTCTGTTAAATCAAAACTACCCACCTCCACCTCAAAAACTTCCAATGGGAAACTTGACCTGAGGGAGAGAATCACAAAACGATTTCTCAGTCCACATTTGGCAGACACACAGAATATCTCTGAGAATCCTGGTCCCTATTTACGCTCCTCAAATAATTCTCACAATCAACATTCCCGGACTAGCATCTCTGATGATGAATTCTCTCATAAGCTTAATGAAAAAGGTATTTGGCAATCATCAGAAAACAACAGCAATCCAGCTCGGCCATTGTCATTTAATTGTATGCAGTTCTCAAGTAACAGTAAAGAGGAGAAATGTCCAGCTGAGAAGCAACACATGTTGAAGCGCTTCTTTGCATGGCAACAGCAGTTAATAAGTGATCACAAGGCTTCAAGGAATCTAAGATACAGCAAGAGGAAACGGGATTCTGGTGGAGATTCTACAGTTGAAAATCTCTGCCAAAAACGATCATGCCGACTTAACTTGAGGTTCAGTCATTTACATTCAAAAAAAGAGCAGGGATCTGGCAGAGTGAAAGTAGACTGCTAAAATCTTGGACTGCAAATGGCCACTGATAAGGTTGGAAGTGAATGTAGGGGGATCTTTGTTTTTCCTTTTCTCTTTTTTTTTTTTTAAATCCTTGAATAAAAGGAAATGCAAATGTATGATTTTGTATCCTTGACTATCTTGTCACTTTCAATGCCCCCCCCCCACAAAAAAATAGTCACAAAATAATTAATGAAAAAATGAATCTGATGCAGAACAGAATATACATGAAAAATTTGTTTTAAAAAAGATAAAAGAAGTTTAGTTTTTTTTAAAAAAAAAAAAAAAACTAAAGTTGAATTTTTTCGTTCACCCCATTTCTGTTTCTCATCACTGAAACCTTACCTTATTAAATAAATTAAGATTTAATAAATATAAGAAAGAAGAAAAAACGGCAATTGTCTGAACAGTTACAGGAAAGAAATTTAATGTAATTTTTTAAAACCTCAAAAAATTAAAACCTGGATTTTAATTTTTGTATTTTTACATAATCTTAAATCTGAAGAAGAAAAAAAGTAATTTTAAAATAAATGAAAAATCAAATAGAAAAAAAAATTATCAAATGAAAAGAAATAGCTGTATGTCAAAATAAACTCCATAAAAGAAATTGCAGAAGGAAAAATGTTTTTAACGAAGTTAGCTTAAGGTTGTGACTTTTTACGCCTTCCAAAGTAAATTTCTTCCATAGCATGGAATATCATGCTTATCTCCCTTATTTCATAACGACTTAAGCCTTTTATACTTAGGCTTTTAAACAGTGAAGAAAATGACATAGACGTAAGTTGTTTTTTTTTGTTGTTTTTTGGTTTGTTTTTTTTTACTACTATTGTTAGTCTACAACATTATCTGATTTATTAACAATTTTAAAAGGGTCTTCTTAGTTTCTTTTTTCCTTGAAAAGTTTAAAAGATTAAATGAATTCAACTTGATATATTTTTGTTTTTAAATTTTTTCTTTCCTAGATAGAATGATCCACTTGTAAAGTTTTGTACACAGATGAATTTGTTCTGATTGCTTTGTTTTTAACATTATCAGTGAAGATATTCTGAAGAAATTGGGTTGCAAATATGCCTCATTTGTGTATACAGAAATATAATGAAGAGTTTAAACTTTTCCTTCTAAAATAGCAGCCAAAGAACATTGAAGTTGGTCTTTGATTTCAAAAGCAATGTTCAAAAAGTCCATTTCAGTAGTCTACTGACCATGAAGTTGTATTCATTTTCTTTGATGGGCTAGTAATCTTTAATACAGTCTACTTTTGAAAGAAAAAATGTTTATTTCATTGTTTCTAAAGTCTTCTTGCCTCTTTTCTCTTTAATTTGTTCGCATCTGATTTTTTAACCATGTTTTGAATTGTCATCTATTTCAACAAGCTTTTTTTTTTTTCTTTTTTTTTTTTAAATGCTTAAAAATTAAGGTTTTGCTTGCAGTGCATCGGAAAATGGCTTCCTTAGCTCTGTAGTGAATGGTTTTGAACCAGACTTTGACTTCTATTGGTAAACTAGTACAACATTTCTTTTTTTTTTTTTAACTGTTTATCATTACAAAAAAAAAGGGCTCATCAAAATGAAAGTTCAAGATATGATGTCATTCCTTTTTAATCATTTAAAAGGACAAATTAAGTATATAATAAAAACACAATACATTGTCATCATAATATCTGAGGTAAGTTAGCTAATTTCTTAACTGTTCAAGGTGAAAATGTTGGTAAGTTGATTTTATCAAAACTTGGATTATTTCATGTTGAATTTTGTATAAGGTATCTTGTGAAAATTGAATTCATTATTCAAAGTAGCGTACACCTTTTTAATAATTACTTAGAAATGTTGGACACTTTGGGTTTGAATCACTAGTTCTTCATAGAGAAATACCTGAATGGGCTAGTTTCTTTTTCCTCACTCAATATAAAATCCTACTTAAAAGAAGTAGGAATAATTATTTACTAACCTGAGATTATTTTACAAGGCTATAGAGGGATCCAATTAGTACCAAAGTCATTACACTTGTGAATCAGTTTGCTTGCTAACTGTTGCACCAGGGGAAGCACTCTGAGGAACAGTTAAATTTTATAAGTTTATTCTTTTGTAAGCGTTTAACAAAACTATAATTTTGTGATCATCATTAACTAAAATATATAGCTCTTTATTCAGCAAACAACAGATTTCCATACAAAACTTTATCCCTTAAAATTGTTAAGTAAATCATACTTTTAGCACTCTACACCTCCACTTGAAGTTTTTTGAAAATGTTATTCTTGTTTTAAGCATATATGTCAACATTATGGTATTTTTTCTTTCCCTTTTGTTATGAGTATTAATGAAAGATATCAAAGTAAAATGTTCTTACCTCATTAAAATGACTGTGTAAAAAGATAAATGAATAGTTGTGAAAAAAATAGGTATTAATAGAAGAGGAATAGGAAGAGATTTGATGAATAAAAAAACATCTTAAAAGAGGTTAAGGCAGATTAAAGGATAAGCGATAATCTGAAATAAATGGTTTCTAAAATATAACAATAGATGGGCTACACATGAAACTGAGAGGACAAAAATTAAAATTCATGGAGATTGACACAGTTTAACCTTAGAATGATACAAAAATAAAATAGATGATATGAGGGAGCTATGAGTAAGTTGCCTTAAAATTTTAAACTTTGAAATGGAGTAATTGAATAAAACCCATAGTGTTCTATATTAGACAGCCAAGTCATAATGTAGTGAAGGGACACAATTGGAGGCCAATGAGAGCAATGGGTCATTCTAGTTTCAGTTAGCTACTCCACCAGTGTTGTTGGCTTAAGTAATGAAAAATTTTCCATATATTTGGAATATCATTTACATTATTTAATTGAAGTATTTATTTTAAGTTGTTATATTTTTTTATTTTTTTTTTTTTTTTAAATTAAAATATTTTAGAAAAATTTTAAAGTTTACCATTAAATATAAAATAGAAGCAAATGTAATATTTTTGTATTACAAAAATGCATGAAAAAACATTTAATGTTTTTACATAAATTTAATGATATATTAAATTCTATATATTTAATTCAGTATTTATTTTTGATGTAAAAAAGTGTGAATGAAATTAATCCTCCTGCTCAGTTATTTTTTCAAGGTCTTCTAAAGTTTTTAAGTATGGTAAAAAAAAAAAAAAGTTAGCTTAGTCACTGACTCGACATTTTTCAGTTAAAAGTTTGACTTTATTATTCAATATTTTTCTGTTAAGAGTTTATTCAATGTTCTTGGGGGAGGGGGGACAAACAGTTACTTCAGAAACAAATTCTCTTTATTACGTATTACGGTATATTTGATTCTAAAAGTTAAAAAAAAAGTAAGATTCTTTTTTATCACATTTTCTTTTTGCTATTGAGGTAACTGTAATGATTTACTTATTAAAATTAAAGAAATGACATTAATAAATAATATTAAAGTTAATATCTAGTTTTTAACAGGCGTATGTCTTTCAAAGACATTTTACTACGCTTGCTTTTAAATTTTATACTTCGAAATTTATTAAAAATAAATTACCATTATTACTTCACAAAAAATGCATTCATAGCATTTTTTTATTAGATTTTATTAGATTTTCTTTAAGGTAATATACTTAGTCCGTTTGTTTTTTTTTTGTTTTTGTTTTTTTTTTTACTAAAGCAGGAAATAGAACCAGATGTCATTTTTCTTATTACAAGATTAATGAAAAAGCCATTTCAGAATGTTTTTTACGTAAATTTAATGAATGCCATAACATTTAATATATTTAATAATTCGATATTCTAAAAACACGGTGAATGAAATATTAACCATGTTGCTGCTCAGTTGTTTGTTTGTTTTTTTTTTTGGGGGGGGGGTTCAGGTTCTTCTTAAAAAATAAAGTATTTACTCAAGTTGACTACAAAACTAATTTTCTAAGGCCAAGATTAAAGTGCACTGCAGTGTATTGCTCCACCACAAGGCATTGTCTCAAAAATAGCCAAAACCTTCTCCCCTCAGGCACCAAGCAAAACCCCAGTTCCCCCTTTAAATTGAGAGAGAGGTGTTGCCTGGTGGGGCAGCACTCTTGGAGAGGGCCAGGCAATAGCTGGTCTTATGTTGACAAGCGCCCGAAATTTAGATAATTAATTCAATAATTAATTAATATTATGTAATATTTGTGCAAACCTTTAACAATATACCTCAAAATCAATATAAAAAATTAAAAAGTTGTTTCTCAGGTTTAAAATTTCTTTAAGTTATTGGTCAGGATGGGAGGTAAAAGCTAGGATTAAGAGTATAAGTAATTTGGCTTGAAAAGTTACCTCTAAATTGAAGCCATAAAAGAAATAATTAAGAAGCTTAATCATTTCAAATATTACCTAGTTTCCAGGAATGCCTTGGAAGTGTTGTGTCCCTGCTTGCAAAACTGTGTGAAATGAATAAAATATCAGGTTTTTCAAAAGAAAAGGTGAGAGCAATGGAGAAAATCAGTTCCAAATGCCAATCTGAATGTTACAAACAATGCAGTTATTTGTCAACAACATTGGCCTTCAAATTTTGATACTATAGAAGTTCATGGAAAAATGCACCCCAAAAATCCACCATCACTCTTTGCTGTTCAAAGGGATATAAAAAAAAAATTTTTAAAAAAACCTCCAGTACTGCTCGAAATGAAATTGATGGAATGAATGTTTTTTTAGAATTA